AGATAAGGCATTATTCACGTAGCTTTTGCATTTGAGACAGTAGAATTGCAAATCCATTTCCTCTGTTTTTTATATTTCCTGCAAAAACTATGGAAAATTAAAAATAATTTCATAATATCTCAACTCTTAAATCCATTTCTTACGTATTCTATAATGGAAACATTCTATAGTATGTAACATTGCTTCAGAAGTAATCTTTAAGAATGCTATTGAAATGCAACGAACTTCTTCAAATAGCATATTACAGTGCAGCTTAAAAAGAAACCAGATAGTATATCCTGCCTTATTATCCTGCCTGAAAAGTGAGATATGTGTAATAAATGCAGAAGCATGCATTTATGCAGTCATCACATATTAGAGACAGAACATAGTTTGCAGCCCTATCTCATTTCCTCTCCATCTTTTTTTTTAAAAAAGAAATTTTATTTCCTGCTACAAGGGGAAACTTTGGGGTAGGGCCTAAAAGGTAGGCTTTTTAGTAGTAGGTTTTGCTCTGGATGAATATGAATGGAACCAGTTTCAAAAGTGCAACATTTGAAAAGTTATGTAAATGGCATTAAAGGACTGAAATAATTATTATAAAGAACTGAAAACATAAATGACAAAATGAACTGAAGAAAGAAAATACTTGCTTTAACAAGTTCCACTGAAGACTATATTGTATTTCTTCTTGAACTATCACTAAGGTGGATTAGTCAGTAACTGAAAGATAATGGTTTCTCTATCTCATTCTCATCTCTTCCTCTTTCAGTAGCAGGAAAATTTTAGATGTAAATGGGTTAACTTTGTTTTAATCTGTATCTAATTTATTGAAGGTGTGCAGAATTGGTTAGGTCAGAGAGGTTTTATTGATCCAGTAATTATCTCTAACTTGTCTGATTTGTTTTAATTGCCTTCATTAAGATTAATTTAGATAGAACTTGTTCCCTGGGGATCTGTAGTGTAGATTTCAGGTAAAATTAGAATCACAATTTAATGTTGCAAAAAGGAAGAAAAGACCACAGCCCAACTTGATACTGGTTAATCGGCCGCTAATTAATGAATTGCGTGGAGGAGAAATCATGCTTTAATATTAAAGTGCTAATTAGAATTTTTTTCACCAATACATGAGGGCAGTTAAAATAAGTGTTTAATTTCACTACCAATACATTATTCATAGTTAACTACTGTGGTAGCAAATTGGATGCGCCAAAATGGAGAACATCAGTATAACATTTGTTCTAAAATATTTCTTTTATATTCAGTCAGGAGAGTTATGTGTGCTTCTGGTTAAATGGAATCAATTTCTTGTGAAATGCAAGATACAGTGTAAACCTCTAGGATTGTTCAGCATGGTGCTATCAAATTAAATGTTCTAACTGCCTTTCTTCCTTATACTGATGTTGATTCTTGGTTTGTTGTAGCCCCTTTCCATATTTCCTCTTATTCCTAAACTTTTAAATCATTAAATTCATTTGATATCCTATTAACACATTTTGTACTTTTAATATATCTGTATTTAAATATTTATTAAAACTTTATCAATATATTGATATTCAGTGTACTGTACTGAATAATTGTTAGTTTGAGAAAATAAGGAATCCCAATAGTCAAACTAAGGTTTCACCTAAAAAAAATAGGAAATTGTAATTATGTATACAGAGCAGTGAATGATAAAGTAGCATCCTCTATGGAGACTATTCCATTATGCTGTCAGAAAACCATTATTACACTGTAAATCTCAAATAATTTGTTAATAGATTTGCCAGTGTCACTGACATTATGGAGTTAATTGTCTATCCACCATCCTGTTTTACACTTTGCATTTGTATTATATAGTGCTTGGTGTGCTGCTAGTCCTAATTGTGATTATTTTATCTTATCCCATAAATATCAAATATCATTGTTACATCATCCTGTTTTTTTATTAAGTATGTTTTAATCTCTACATGGAGATGTGTCTATGTGTATATATATATATACACATTTCTATCTATCAGCACACACTTTCTGGAGACATAAGGAAAAGATATATGTAAATATGATAGGTAAACTATAGTTAATACTTACAAAGACTATACTCTGGGTAGATATTTTTGAAGTCTTTATTGGCCTTGAAAGAACATGTTGCAGTTCAGGCTCAACTATCTTGGATATGACCAATCATTTCCACACACAAGTTGTAGGTTTTTAAAGTGTAATAGGAAATGTAGAGATACATTATACAGTCTGTCTTCAGACACAAAAGTGATTCATTTTTATATAGTATAATGTAAATGTACATTTTTTTAGTATTGAGCATTGAAAATGAACTAGATCAGTGGGTTTCAGAGTTCATCATTTGATGAATTATTTCCATGTACCTAGTATAGAACTGGGGTGAGGTGTCCCAGAAAATCATTTCACATATTCTAAGCTTAGAGCTTGAATGTATAAGTTAAGAACAAGAACATTTTACTGAGATTACAGGGAGTTTGCAAATCTATTACTGAGGTAAAACTGTGGTTTAATCATAACTGATATTTGAAGGTGTTTATGTAAAAGTATTTTTCTGTATATATATAGAACAGCCAGGATTTAATAACATTATTCGATTCTATCAGATTCTTTTTTTAAAAAAACAAAGGACTAGATTTTGTGATTGTGGTTATAATACAAGTTGTATGCCTTATAACACAAATGCAACAATTAAAATACAATATGAAATGATTAAACATGAGGGTTAAACAAAAAATCACTATTCTCAAAAATAAACTGTCATCAGGTAGCATCCTTAGTAATAAGCTATACTGATGATACTTGACCTGAAATTGATGACCCCACTCAGTGGCCTCATGTAGATGTTACATAAAAGGAGCAAGAGCTTCAAGACCTGAGGCAATCCACAAGTTAGGGGCTTTAGGCTTGTTTCAACCAACACCAACTAGAACCACCCACATAGAAAGGAGAACCATTGCAGTATGGTGCCCCACACTCCTAGTCCCCATAAGTAGTCCAGAAGGATACCATGATTAATTATATTGAAAGCTGCCAATAAATCAATGAAAACAAGGATGGTTTCCCAGCTCCTCCATAGGTCATCAATAAATGTAATCAGTGCTGTCTCAGTACTATGTCCTGCTCTAAAACCCAACTGAAAAGTGTTCAGATAATCCATTTCCTCCAGGGCCCTCTGGAGCTATAGCCCAACCACCTTCTTGACAACCTACCCTATAAAGAGATGCTTGGAGACTAAATGAAAATTATGCAGGACTGTTGGGTCCTGTGATGACTTCTTGAGGAGAGGGTGTGCCCACACTTTCTTCAAGACAGGTGGAACCACCCCCTCCCTCAAGGAGGCAGACATCACCCCATAGACCCAACAATATGTCACATCTTGGGCAGTCCTTGCAAGTCAGGTGGGACATGAATCTAATAAACATGTGGTTACATTTGCAGTCCCAAGAACCCTGTCCACTTCCTTGGGAATTACAGGGTTAACTCAGCTAACCATGCAAGACTCTCCCTCAGACACCTTAATAGGACTTTTCCAGTTGACATCAAATTCCAAGTGAATCTGAGCAATTTTATCTATCAGTTTGGTAGAATATTCCTCACAGTGGCCATGCAGATGATTCTGTGGCTTGTTTCTTCCCAGCAAGGAATGAGTCGTCTTAGACAGGGCTGCTGCACAACTATCTGCAGATGTAGTAAGTGTAAGGAAATAACTGTGTTTGGCTGCTCTTATAATTGCATTATAATTGCTGGCATCGGCTCTTACTCATACTTGGTCTGGTTTACTTTTCATCTTTCTCCACCAGTGCTATAAATGTTTCTTCTAGCACTTCATCTCCTAGAGCTCCTTGGAAAACTAAAGAGCACCCTGAGATCAACACACAGCAAGAGGCTGTATAGGAGCAATTTGATCCAAGGCCCTCATCATATGCCTGTTCCAGGGCATGACTAAAACCTTGGCCCAACTGCCTACCAGATCCTCAGGGAAAATCCCAAACTCCCTCTGGAACCAATCAAGGTTCATTAGTCACCTGGGGTGGAGCAATCTAGCAGGCCCTACTGCCCTGCAAGGTGTGGTAACAACAGGCAAACCAAAAAGCAATGAGAGAATGATCCAACCATAACAACATATTGATGGTAATGTTCACTACCAGATCAGTTGCAGCTGCTGGGAGACAAAAAACATGGTATGATCCCTGGTGTGTGTTGGGTCATCTCCAAGAGGGGAACACCCCCCCTCTGAGTAGGAGAAGAAAACTAACTTTCACTTTTCAGTCAGTACTCATCTTCTAATTCAGGGGTAAGCCTGAATTAATAGCTGAGAGTTCTACAATTTTTAGTGGGTGGTTGATCTCCCCCTCCCCTCCTGGTTTAAGTATTCTTGAGAGAGGGGGTATTCCAGTTTTAGAAATGAAGGCTTAACACACTTTGGACCACCAGTGTTCAGCTGTACAGTCAGTTGGACGAGCTGGCCACCAGAAAAAAGATTTGTGGGGGCACATATAACCCTTGGATTGTTCTCCCCTTATTTAAACTGATAAATGTTTGATGAGTTTGATTGAAAAATAAAGACAATTTAATGAAAATTATCCTGTCTTTTTCTAGACTTGTCATCTGCATACAGTAGTTGAAAACAGCTTACAATCTTATGACTCAGTAGAAATACTTTATTTTTCATCAACTTGATTTTATGTAGTATCTAGAATAAAAACATATTGTTCACTGGTATTGTTCTTCCTAATGATAGCTAGGAGAAACATACAAATCCTAAGGTGTGCTAGGTGTGGTATAATGATGGACTGGAACTATATTCTCATCCATTATTAACCACAGGCTCACTTCCATGAAAGAGCTAGTCTCTCTCTCAGCCCAACCTAACTCACAAAGTGGTTGTTGTAGAGAGAAGAGAGTTTGCCCTCTTGAGCTCTTGAATAAAAAGCAGAAGATAAATCAGTATGTTGCTGTGAACTTACAGCCTTTATCTTACATAACGCTGCTGGAAATGATGTGTTTCTGTTTTCTCATAGAATATGAATTAGAGCAAGGATGGCCAGTGGATACTCAGGTTTCATTTGAAGATATGACCTGGAATCACAGTAAGCTATGTGAAACCTTCTTATACATAAACTGAAATGTTAATGTAAGAATGAGCTCTGCTCGAATAGCAAGCAAGAAGCAGGTTGCAAAGGTAACAGCTGTTTGTGTTTACACCCCAGAAACTTGTATTCAAAAACTTGTGACCTCTGAAACTGGCAGTTCCATTTAGCAATGAAGTAAATCAGAAGGTGTTAGAAATAACATTCATTGCTTTGTCTAGCTCCCTTTTAAAAGCATCAGTACCAGTAACTATTATCTCATTCTATTGCAGCAAGTTCCATCAGTTAAATGTTTGTGTGGTGTGAATTACTTTAGTTTATTAAGTAATTTAGATTTTCTGTTTGTAAAAAAGTAACAGTTCTTGGTAATTACATCACTGCCTTTCATTATCTTTTTCTAATCTTAACAAACCCTAAGTGCATTTTGATTGCTCTATTTTTACTGTTCCAGCCCTGATACTGTTTTGGTAAACAGCAAATTGCATTATGTAATGGTCCGTTGTATGGTATTTACCTGACCTGATATGTTGATAGTTAAAAATGCTTTCAATTAGTAGTGCAAAACAATGCTTGTCAATAAGTGCAAGTGATTGTAAGCATGCCAGTAGATTAAGTTACAAGTATTTCACCATGTTTTTTTTTCCCCCTCTAGCTGTCAGAAAGATTTCTAGAGTAGCAAAAAGCCATACTACACAAGGCATTTATAAAATTTGGATCTATCTTTCAACCACAACTGAAAAGATGTTTTCTCTTGTGGGTAGTGTCTGACTTCATCACTGAAGGAATCTGAAATTATCCCAGAAGTTCCCTTCTTATGTAGATTGTTTATTTTTCTACCTTAAATATTTAATTTAGGTTCTGTTCATGACATAAGAAACACTTCAGTGGTATATGAGGACTCACTGAAGCTGCTTTATTTTATTTCAACAGATGATCACTGTTATTCTTTCACATGCCGATGTGGTGGAAAATACAGAGTTTCCAAAAATGAAGTTGAAGATGTTTCACTAGTAAGCTGTGACACATGTTCGCTACTTATAGAAATTATTTGATATGCCATCCAGGAAATACACCATGCAGCTGGATAGACTGATAAGTTTAATATGCTAGTATAGAAAGTGGTAGAAAAGTGTACAATAAATCTTAAGTTTAAAACAAAGTCTGTCAATTCTGCATCTTGAGATGCAAAACCTAAGCGATGTTGTTCATTTCCTCTGTTTTATATGAGCATTCATCTCTATATAAACGAGCATTTCCCAACCATACAGTGTACAGACTTTCAGCTCTGAGAATTCTCAGCAGAGGTAATGCTGGCACTGCAGTTGTAGAACCTAAAATCCAGACAGTTGGAAGTTGCCTAAATTGGAAAAGGATTATTTAAATCTAGACGTGCTCCAAATTTTGGAGGAACTGAGATAACTTTTTTTTACAATATTGCATCTTATATTTGAGATGAAACTATAGCTGGATTACAAGAAAACTGAAAAGTATTTTGAAAACAGTGCTGCAGATTTAAAACCAATATGTAGTTCTTTCAGAGTAGTCAAACCTCCAGCATACCATTTGATAGACCTGAAAGAGTACACTAATACTTATTTCATATAAATTATACTCCATATAAATATGATGTATAAATAAATAAATAAATGTAATGAGAGGTTTAATATAATTCACAATAGGTAGCTTGCATTCTCGGATGTAGAAGCTTATGTAACTGAAATAGTATTCATAAATGCCACCCACTTCATGGATTCTTTTTTACAGTATACCATAATAGTAAAGAATAATCCAATCTGAAATTGTTTAATTCTTCCATTCCAAATGGCTGAATATATCTGAAAATTCTGAGAAGAAAAGTATGTGACCATAAAAATTCTTAGGCTCTCTGTTTAATAGAAAAAAAAATTACAAATAATCCTGAACCATGATACATCATTTATTGACTATAAAAATATAAATCACATTTTGAAAGGTTAAAAAAAACAGAGATGACAACATAAAGCAATTAGTCTTTATAAATCCTGTGACTGTTGGGACTTGAACGCAGAAATCCAAAATCAGTCAAAGGCCAAAGCTGTGAAATAAAATAAATAATTACTTAACATACTGAGCATCAGTCATCCTTCAGTTTTCTCTATTTCAACTGTAGTGTTAATACAGGAAATTGAACGTTTTAAACAGGATAGCAACACATGTATGACTTACATATGCTCTTCACTTAAGCTATCCTTTTGGGGAGTTTTTCCAACAAAATATGTTCATATAATAAATAAAATATTTGGAATTATCTGCAATGAATTATAATTCCAATCTCTCTCTACTGCTCATCTGGATACACTTCACTGCAAAAATACATATTCAATGATGACTGATCGAGATTTCAGGTGATATGTTAAGACTGTTTAGACTGTGTATATGTTTAGACTGTTTAATTTTTCTCATTTTTTTCTATTAAGGTTAAATATTTTAATTGTTTATGATAATGTGAATATGATGTCCAATTCTCATAACTTTAAGATGGCTGTATATTATTATGGAAGATTTTTTTTCTTTCTGCATATGTAAAAAATCATTGCTATTCCTTAGGCAGACACTCAGCTAAAAGAAATGGCTGAATTATGAATTTGATGAGATATGAGAGTTAACTAGCAAACTACAATTGCATAAGAAACAATACAGATGGAATACACCCAGGCTGAGGCAGGAAGCTGAAATAAACTTTTAAAATATATCTATCGTTTAAGTCTTCTCTTTATGGGAGAATAATATAGATGGCATAAAACCATTTTTATAAAATGATCCACCACACTAAAAGCATGTTACGCCTGGTATTGGGGAAGAGAAATAGGATTTCTATAAGGAAAAGCCTTACACTACAGCCATTTATATTATTTGACACTGTGAACATGTAAATATTGATCTGGAAGATTTTATACTTCGATTTCTGAAAAGCTTTTAGCAAAGTCCCTCACGGATGATTTCTGAATCAACTAAGCAAACAAGGAATTAGAGTTCAGGTCCTCTTAGGAATCAATAACTGGTTAAAGAAAAGTAGTAGTCAGCGTAGGAATAACTGAAGAGAAGCAAACAGTGGAGTTCCTGAAGGTGTGGAATGAGTGGTATTTTAGCACCTGTTGTGGAAGTGAAAGGTCACTGATTTTCTACGTATCACATCAAATGCTACCAGGGAAGACAATGTGATATCTGGGAAGCAGGAAAGGAAACCCCACTGTGTGAATTGTTTGTTAGATCCAAACCAGTATATTGGGTATAGTTACATTTGTCATACCCCCAGTGTTAAAATGGGACTGCAAAATAAAAATGCTGGTTCAGCATGATGCTGTTTTTATATACATGAAAAGAGGACACCAAAGGAAGGACTGTTTGAAGAGAGAGATTGTGTGTGCGTGTGTGTGTGTGTGTTTATATGCAGGCTATTATATAGGTAGATACTTAACTAATACTTTGAAAGGTTTAAACACAGTCTTGTTTAGGAAGATCGTGTTCTCTTGTAACATTTTAACACCTTGGTCCCTGTGTTTCACTAGCTAATGAACATGTCTCATTGTCATAGCTTAAGCCCCAAGACTATAACAACTGTTAAATTAACACATTTTAGATTGCAGGAATATACCTTAAAGCAAATCCGTCCTCTTATCAATCCATATGGAACAGGACCATAACACCTGGAATCTGTAGAATTCCTGAGATTATCACCTTCTAACCAAACATGTCCTTTAGGTACCTGAGAAACATTAAAATTAAAGAAAAATATGTAGATGAAAAGCAGCACAATTAATATAGCCTAGTTTCATCCTTTATATGACTGCGGTAAATGAATAATTTTACACTTCTAGATTCAGGGGAGGGGATCCAATAATACTCTTTCACAGGCTCCCCAAAACCATGTGCAATACAAACAAAAATCTCCAAATGAAGATGTTAAGTTAGGCCAGTATGACAGAGTCATTTATTTAATAGACTTCAAAAGAGTCATTAGGATGTTGACTGAAAATCTTGCTCTACTGTCACAGTAACAGCATGAGCAGGGCAGCCACATACTCATCAACATCCTGAGGCCAGCACTAAGGCTAGACCAGTTAGTAAGCTTCTGATGAACTAAATGGTAATTGATTGCGACATCAATTACAAATAATCTCATCATTTTATCATAGAGGACTTGTCAAAGTTCTAATTAATATCACAGTTCATTCTATGTGCAAGCAGGATTCACAACACATAACATTGTATTAATGACGATCACAAACCAGCAAGTACCTCCTTATAATTTAAAAATTAATAATGGTGACCTTACAATGTGACAGAACCCTTTGAGTAAAGACCTCATATGAACAACATGCTAGAGATTCAGCCATAAAAAAATTCCATTATATCAATCATACTATCACAACGTCTACCGTAAATAGAACAGTTAGTTCCTGGACTTTTACCCACTGAAAGAATTCAAAGGCTATTAAAACTGATATGAAGTTAAACATTTTAGAACTTGGAGATGAGCTTCTAAAATAAATGAATGAAAAGAAAAATTTAAAATGATCATAGTCGTAACTGCAATTGGTATTAAATAAACTCATAAGGCACATCTAGACATTTCCAAGTAAATGACTGCACTATATATATACGACAGCCAACATGTTTCATACACCTGTGACAGCTGCATCTGTTCACAATGCATAATCACTTGGAAATGTCCATTTGTGTCATATGGATCCAGATGTTGTAGTCCTAAATTAGCTCACCCAACTGCCCTCAACAATCCAAATGGGGCCTTTGTGGAGCACAAAGCCACTCCTTGACATAAACATAATGCTATTTTTTAAAATTAAATTTATTATATAAAATGCCAGATAGGACAGGAACCATGTCAGGGAGGTGTGTAGAAATACATTGAAGCCTGTGTTGCATAAAGGGACTGCATTTGTCCACTCTCAAGACATCTTCTGCAGTAAGATTCCTAGTTAGAAGCCCTAGTTTATTTGTTCCCTTCCATTCCAACTAAATATTAGTAAAGATCTTTGTCGATACATTCAACATAGGGACTTTAATCTACCAATATGGCTACTACTGTGCCCATCACTACTTCACTACTACTCTACCCAGATGGTTCAACAATAATCAGGTTGCATATTTCACATTGCTTGGTGCAAACAAACAGCAGAAAAGAAAACTTAAAAATCAGTTCCTGATTTTCACAAATCAGTCCAATTAATAAAGCACAAATATTACTTTGTTGATTCAGCTTTTGGCCTTTGCCAGAGTTAAATAAAATGGTAAATAAAAGTGCTGACATTTGAAAAGATTCTCCCATTATGAAAAGCAATTAAAATGACTATAATCAAGTGTTTTATTTGGAAGTTGCCTCCTTTCCTAGTCTCCGATCATGTAACAACAGATGAGTTAAAAACCAAACCAAGGGGGAAAAAAACTAAATTAGGAGATAGGTAAGCTATAATGCTTTAGAAATGCAATGTCCATACATAATTACTAATCATTCCTTTAATATCATCTATGTAATGTTTTAAATATCTGTCAAATGCTAGAGACACTTAATTTATTTACAGCCTTTCATAAATTTTACTTACTTACTTTATTTATTTATTTATTTATTTATATTTCAAATTTATCACTGCCCATCTCACTGCAGAGAGACTTGAGGCAGTTTACAATAAAAATAAATATTAGTTAAAATAGAATAAATATACATTAAAATATATTACAAAAGACTTCCTATATAAATAATAAATATCTTAGATTCAGGGAGCGTCTTCAAGGCGCTAGCCACCCCCAGGGTTGGTTATATCCCCTCTTGCCCCATGCGAGTTGGCAGAGCCAGGTCTTCAGCCCTTTCCAGAAGGCCAGGAGTGTGGGGGCCACCTCACCTCTGGGGGAAGAGTGTTCCATGAGGCGGGGGCAACAGCAGAGAAGGCTCTCCTTCTGGGTCCCGCCAGTCGACATTCTTTCACAGATGGGGTCCACAGCATACCTTCTCTGTCTGACCAGGTGGGATGGGTCGATGTAATGGGTTTGAGACGATCCCCCAAGTAGCCTGGTCCCATTATATGTAGGGCTTTAAAGGTAATAACCAACACCTTGAATTGAACCCAGAAGCAAACTGGCACCCAATGCAGCTCCCGCAGCAAAGGTATTACATGAGCCATCCTAGGGGCACCGAAAACTGCCCACATGGCTGCATTTTGCATCAGTTCTAGCTTCCGGATACTCTTCAAGGGTAGCCCCATATAGAGTGCATTGTAATAGTTTATACGGGAAATGACCAGGGCATGAGTGATTGACCGGAGGACCTCCCAATCTAGGAAAGGGCATAACTGGCGCACACACAAAGTTGAGCACAGGGCCTCCTGGCCACAACTGCCACCTGCTCCTTGAGCAGGAGTCATGAGTCCAGGAGGACCCCCAGGTTCTGCACTGGGTCTGTCTGGCGGCAGTGGCACCCCATCCAGAACCAAAGATGGTAAATTCACAGATACAGAGGAGCCCTCAACCCACAGCCATTCCGCCTTATAGGGCTGAAGGCTGTTGTACCCCATCCAGACCCCCACAGCCTCCAGGCACCTCAAAAGGATGGTCACAGCATCACTCAAATGACCTGGGATGGAGATGTATAATTGGGTATCATCTGCACATTGATGATACCTCATCCCATGATGGCAGATGATCTCACCCAGTGGTTTTATGTAGATGTTAAAAAGCGGAGAGAGTACTGAACCCTGTGGCACCCCACAAAGGAGGGGCCATGGACTGAACCTCTCCCTATCAACACCGATTGGGACCAGCCTTGAAGGAAGGGGGTAAACCAGTGCAAAACTGCACCACCGACCCCCAATTCCCCAAGCAGACCCAAAAGGATACCATGATGGTATCGAAAGCTGCTGATTTTAAAAATGCCTTAGGAAACACTTTCAGATACAGGTGGTCCTCTGTTACCAACCACTTGTTCAATGACCATTAGACCTTACGATGGCACTGAAAATAGAGACAGTCAGTCCTTGAAATTGTAGCCATCGCAGTGTCCCCATGGTCACATGATCATGATTCAGGCACTTGGCAACCAGTGCACATTTACGATGGTCACAGTATTCCCTATATGATCACCATTTGCAAGCTTCACAGCTAGCTTCCAACAAGCTAAGTCAACAGGGAAGCTGGCAGGAAGTCGCAAGTCACGGTCACATGACGTCACACCTAACAACCCACGGTGATTTGCTTAATGACCACAGCCAGAACTGACATTGTTAGTGTGGTCACGTGACACCACACTTAACAAGCACGCTGCTTAGAGATGGAGTTGCTGGTCCCAATTGCAGTCAACAAGTGAGGACTACCTGCATGTCAAGGTGGAATATTTTGTGTTCTGGTAGGGAAAAAACCTCAAAGCTCTTTCACAGGGAAGAACAGGAATTAAAAGCAATTAATTTTGCTCCTTCATTTTTTTATCATAGAGCCTTAAAATGGTAAGGATGGTAATTCATACGGCTATGCAAAACTTTCTGTCATAGAATATTCTGAGCTCAGAATGATCCATTTTGAGATTCAACCAATTGTAGAACACTTGAATAGGCTTGGTCAGTTCCAAGTCATTTGGCCCATGCCAGATCAGTGTCATGTAACAATGTTTTTCACACCACTAATAGTCTATACTGAAGGTTGCCTATTGCAAGTGTTTCCATATAGGAATTCCTTCCCAACATTTCTTGGGAAATTTATTTTTTTCCAAATTCTGAGAAAACTCAGTTGAGAAATCTGGAAAATGAAAAAACGTATTACCCAGAATAAGTGCTGAGGACACTGACTAGGAGGTGTCCTCTACTATTCTGGTTGCAACTTTTGGAAAGTGAAGCAGCTTTCTTGTAGCTCCTATCAAACGGAACTCCAAGGAATGCTTTGTGCTTAGGACAGCCTGCATCCAAGCTGGCATGAAGGGTGCCATTGTTAGATCTGCTGTATGCAGGGAATAATGGGGGCAGCTCCATCAGGTTGCGTGTTATAAAAAATACAAACTTGTGAGTTCCAATTTCTTGTTCCCAAATCCCAAACATTAGTATCTGTCAGGAATTTGGAAACACTACAGGTAATCCTCGCTTAATGACCACAACAGGGACCAGAAAATTGGTTGTTAAGGGGGGAAGTTGTTAAGCAAGTCGCCACGTGACAGGACCCAATCTTATGACCATTTTTATGACAGTCATTAAGCGAATCACCAATAATTAAGTGAATCATATAGTAGTTAAGCGAATTGCATAGTTGGTAAACAAATCCAGCTTCCCCAGTGGATGCTTTTGCAGAATTCACTTAACGACCATGTGATTTGCTTAAAGACCATCGTAAAAAAGGTCACATATCGTGATCACATGACCCCAGGGAGTGGTGTGACTGTTTATGATGGCCATAAGCGCAAGTACAAGTTGTAAAGCACTTTCCAAAGGCATTGTAACTTCAAACTGTTGTTAAGCAAATGGTTGTTAAGTGAGGACTACCTGTACCTACTGCCTAACGTAAAGCAAATTAGCCAGCTGGACCAAAAGAGCAAAGCAATAGTGAGGTGTGCTTTTTATACTCTATACTCTTTTTTTCACTCAGGAAAAAAAAGAGACAGAAAACAAAACAAGCAGGGGATTCAGGGGATGCTTCTTCCTACTGCAAATTTACAGTCTATATTTTGCATTTGGCAATCTGCCTATGATGCTCAACAAAGTAAAGCAACAG